CAGGAAAACCAACCAGCGTTTGGTTACCTTTGTGCATGTTCTCCAGATCTCTGTGCTGCTTGTTTGGCTGCTTACTTCAGAGAAAGGGGCTTTTTTTGACCAACTAGAAATGGCATAACCTAACTAAAATAAATAAATAGCTAGTCCTATCTACTCTCTATTTGTGAAAAGCCTCAAATGAAATATTCTATTCTAGCTAGAAATGAAATACAAGTTCTGCTACAAAGCATAAACTCTTCATTAATCTGTCTAGCTAGAATCAAAATTTAGTTCTAAAATACTGTCATGTGTTCTGAACTGAAAGGTATCCCTTCTAATCACTGCTACTCTTTGACCTTCCCTGACTTTGCTGTTCACTGGATGCTTAGTCAACCTCCAAGATAATGAATTCCTACAAAGTAAGACAGCAGTCACACTCAGAGCTATTACTTACTTATTATAATTCACAGAGACTAGAAATAACTTTATTTTCTACACTTACAAGTCAAACAGGCCTGCTGAAAAGCAATTACAAACTCAACATGCGGGTTCTTTTGCATTTACTGAAATGTGTTGATGCTGGAAATGAGTAAGTTCCCCATTTATTTCCAATTAAAAAAAAGAATAGTATTTTTTATCACTGGTCACAACTCTGCATTTACTTACCTCCATTTTATGCCCATTTATCAACAGACGACAGAACAATGCAACCTTACTTTAGGGATTAACTCTCACAAACTAACTACACTAACAGAACCCTTATGAAATAGTTTGTGCTAAATTAAATAACTCTAAATCAAATAATTCTCAATGGCAACATCTTATTAAATAAAATTGTGATAGTGGTGAATTTTCAGCTCCACTGAAGTCACTGGCAAAATTTACAGAACTTCATCCTCAGACTCTATTCCACTTGTAAAACAAGGAGAGAGCATCAGTCCTGACAAATACTGCACCAGTTGCCTTCTAAAATAACGCTAAAGAAGCGAGTCAGATCTCAGTATACTACATCAGATGAACTCAATTTCTGAGTTAATCTCAGTGCTGACTTCTTTTATACGTACATATCTATTTGAGTTGAGTAAGAGTTAGAACCCAGCGTGCCGGGGTGCTGCAGTTCCAGTGGAGGTCGGAAAGCGAAAGCACCGTTTCAGAATTCACAGGGAATGGTCATCTACCTCCAGTGGTCACGCTAACAACAACTTCAGGCTGCACTCGATTTTCAGTTTTATACTTGTCTCACTTCTCTAACTGCAGTCCTTAGGAGCTCCCCAAGAGAAACAGAGCATCAGGTAAAAGAATAAAACATAGCTAGAAGGCATATCAGTAACAAACAGTGGGCACAAAAAGATGGAGCTCTTCAAGAACTCTCAGTGGTGACATTAAGTCTGCTCCCTTGCAATTTAATAGAAACTTTACCTTCTCCAGGAGCCCGGAGAGGCCATCCTTAAATGGTTTTGATAATCTTTCAGATTTTGCATGTCATACTGGAATTCCTCTGTGCCCATTAACTGATTTTATATCATATGAAAAGTTTTTCTCATTTATCTTGGTGTTAAGCCAGATGGGCATCACCGCTTTTCAACACGTTGTGTAGGCAGCAAATGTTATACTATTTGACATTTCACTGAGTAGCAAGTGTATTTTCTCCACAGAAAGGAACTCTTTCTACTGATGTTTGTAAGCAGTATTTAGTGGTTCTCCCATGGCGATAGGTTTAGATAAGACATGGACAAACTGGATTATACAGTATACAGAAACTTCTCGGTACCGGGCAACAGACAAACACATCCCAGATATAATGCTGACAGAAAGAATTACTTTTGTTGCAGACTAGGACTAGATCAATACAATATATCCCAACCAATAAAACATAAAATTACTATTTAAAATTACTTTTGAAGCTGTACTTGAGATCAATAATTTTACAATGATCAAATGCATGGGAAAAAAGTTAAATCTGCAATGCACTTGAATCCCAAAATTCTTACGTCTGTTCCACATAAAGATCAGTGATTAATAATATTGGCCCAATGTTTAAAATTAAATCAAGCCCATGAATGACAGGAGATGTAACTCTCGGAGGGTGAAACTAGATTTGGTTCCTTTCTGGGGAAAAACACCTACACGTACATACTTGAATAAGAATCTTTCTTCAAGGGTTAACAGGAAACTTCAAGTAGACTCAAGGTAAATCCTAGCTCCTGTTATCCAGGAAGATAAGAAACACAAATGCATTGGTATTGTTACGATGTTGTAACACATTACTGAAATATACAACAGTATTGTTTCCCAAAATTCCTATAACTTGTATGACTTGATAGGGACACAAACTACTAATGACAACATTCATATATCAGATAAAGTGCTTTGATAAAGCATCACAACTTCCCGTGTTTCCAACAGAAGTATTTAGTAACATGTTACAAAAGATGTTAACCTGGGAGCTGCTGCACCATAAACAAAAGAGTAAAAATGCAGAAATACGATATTTAAGTATTCCCATACCATTCTACAGAAAAAAATTGCAACACAACCCAGCAGTGGTACCTCATGTCTTTTTTTTTTTAGCATAGTTCTGAAATGTGCACTGAGGAGCTATAGGATAAACCTTCCAAGCTCTATTTCATGTTAGTGATGTGCATTAAAACATCCACTCTTTTCAGACAAAGGATAAGGCTTATACCAAAAAACCACAGTGCCGCTTGGCTGCGTATCTTTGGTATATTTATAGTGCAACTATTCTGTTTCGTCTCTGAAAGGGAAAGTTTTCCAAAGCACTGCATCCCCTGCCACTGAGAATCTACTCTGAACTCCTACGTTCAGTAGGACCACAGACACTAACCTACTGCTTTAAACAAATGAAGAATGTGCAGTGAAAATAATTTCTTCCTGTTTTAAAATATACTACTGAAATAAAATTAAACCATGCCAGATTTCACGTGAGAAAGTAACAGCACGTTTCAATTCTCTTGCAAGAGTTTAGAAGCATACAAATGCGAGCATAAATTTCATGGCAATTTTTAACGACAGATATCCAAGTTGCTACCGAAAACATTTGTAATTTAATTCTTGTTAATCTAGATTTAGTCAATCTTTGTCTCTACAAAAGAGACACCTGCTTTTCATTTTGCTTAGATACTTCGAATTATTCAAAACGCACGGAAAGGCTAGAACTACTTAATTAAAATATGTTGCAAGCATCTTTTTCTAAACTTATATTGCTAAAGCCTTGCTGTATTGTAAGTTTTATTGGAGTTGGCCTTTAAACACAGTACCGTGTATTCACGTAAGCCCAGATATATACCTGTATTTCATACTGCTAGTAGTAGTAGGCATACCAAAACACAACTATAGTACATTTCATCCAGTGGCAGTGCAATAAAATGTAGTGCCATCAAAATGCCATTTAATGATTTTTCAGCTCCTGAACAACAACATTCTTTCTGAACAGGTCTGTCCAACCAGACTTGCGTATTGCTGAACGCTGGCTTCGTCGCTTGGCCCCTTCCTCCTTTTCTTATAGACGCTGTAAGGCATCACGGTTCTCTTGTGAAGTACTCTCACTCTGCCCAGTTCCTTAACGCGACCTTCATCAACTGCAAAGAGAATCAGAGAACACAAAAATTCATGTTTTATACTGTCCATATGATCTTAATTTATGCAACTAACTTCAATACGCGTCATGAAAACCGTACGCAGTAATAAAACTAATCTGCAGACAAACAGCAGATGAATGCAGGGCTGATCTACAGAGCTGTCTTCTTGAATCACGGTAGAAAACAAAACCTAGCTTGCAAAGTAACTGTATTTGTGGGGTGTGAAAAAATCAATCATGCATCACGCGTTTCTAATGGTGATATATAGCATTTCTGGAAATACCTCTACCGCTGCATTTTAAAATTGACGTTCATTTAACGCTCGCTGGAGCCCGCTGCCAGAAGTGAAACTCTATCTGGGAAATGCATTCAAACAACAGCGACCAGAAGAGACTCGCTGTTATTGCCATATTGCACTGAATTACCCCACTGCTTGCAAAATCCACCAGCCCAGAGCACTCCCTTGCCCCAGCTCTGAAAAGTGCAGTAAAACCAGCAGAAGCCTCCACACTGTTTGCCTTCGGTAAGCATCAGGCCATAAACCACCCTCCCAGGCGAAACACCCTGGCCCTCCAGCCCCCACCTTTTTCTCTTTGCGTATACTGGTTTCTGAGTTTCTCCAGCAGAAAGAAGCTGAACACGTGCCCTTACTTCCAGTCTGACCCCCAAGCTCTGCAGACTGACAGAGCGAGCAGTGCAAGCGCTAGCTGGGTGGGCATGACATAATTTCTCAAGCTTTCAAAGACACACACACACCATAGCTGAATCTTATTAACCTCACCTACAGACCCCTTGTGACTTCATTTAACCAGAATAGTACACGTAAGAGCATCGTTGAACAAGCTAAAACTTCCTTATTTTTATGAATCCAATCAATGCTACTATTGCTGAATAATAATGTTATACAGCTGCTGCACGTCAGAAAAATTGGCTCTACAGTGCTAGAAAATTCTTTAAAGAAAGTGAGAAAACATGTCATACTCCTGAGGCCGTTGCAGGATAAATTAATAAAATTATTACAAAATACCGGTAAAAGAAATCTTGGACTCCTCTGAACTTCAGGTTTAAAAAGCCACCAATGTAAGAGTCAATGTAAACACAGCAAGTGAAATCAGAGTTTGAGAATAGAACCACATAAATGCATATAGTAACAGAGATGGTTACTAGGAGGTCAGCACCTGGGGACAAACTACGCAAAGATCTTTTTTTGGTATCAGGACATTATTCAGACTGAAGAGACAGCACAGGCAAGTGTAATTGCTTCGCTTCAAGTACTGCATCAATCTGCCCCAAATGAAAGTATTTTATATGTTCATGTCCTTGCTTCATTTCGGTCAGAACATTTAAGGCTCCCTGAGCAGGATCTGAATGGTGGTATCCACTCCGCACCGCTCCCCGCTTGCCACCCCCGCGGGGAAGCCTTCTGCTGATCGGCGGTTGACTCAAATCAAACCAACTGCTGTGGAAAACCAAACAATTCAAACAGCTATTTCATGGGCAAAAATAGGATTTGTTTAGAAGAGAAGAAACAGAGGTAGAACCTTCTCAGCAAGGTTCACAAATGACAACAGATCCAAGGCGCAGAGGGTACGATGCCAACGCAGGGAAGCAAATCAGTCACCTAGCGTTGTCCCACCTTGTTTTACACACCTGGAGCTCACTGGAGACTTAAAAATATAGTTCACTTACTCTTTGTGTGTAAGTAACCTTTGGACTTACCACAGGTATTTTTAACAACTTGTGTGGAAGAATTTGAAAAAATCTTTATGACAAATCTCTCTTCAGTCGTAGCCCTCACTATGGAAAAGCTTCATCTAGTAAACATAAAGGTGAGTAAACGCCTGTCTTCGCACGGCCTTCCTAAGGACCTGCCCCTATTCCCCCACAGAAATATGCCATATAAACATTTCTCTGCCGACTGCCTGAATTTAGTATGTGAAACTTAACGAAGTCTGTTTTACAAAGTCTAGAATGACTTCATCACTTCTATCTGTGTTTTGATTCCTAAAATGAGAGCACAATGTATTTCTTAAGAGTTAAGTAGGAAAACGGGGTTTGAAGGAAGAAAATTTGAATAGTACTTGCTAAGATTGCACTCTCCACTAATTATTGTTGGCAATTGCTTTAGATAGACACCCAAGTCAAAAACACTTTACGGCCGTCTCTCCCTCTTTGAAATCCATTAGGTTTTTGATGTGTGGCCAACACCTTCCCGATATCTCAATGGGTTGTTTTTACTGCCAGCCCTACTGCCTCTTCTATTACATCCTCCTCCTTTCTGAGCTCACCAAGGAAAAATTTGCAAGTTAGCTTCTGGAGGTGACACAAGTGTAAAATTATTTTCATTTCTTAAATTGGAAAGTTTACACTTACTGCACCTCCAGGCTGACGGTAAGTTTGTGACCTGAAGCGGATTTATGCCAAGCCTAGCCTCCCCACTCTCATGCCAACAGCAGCACTTTCAAAGCTGTTCACTACTCGCTGTTCGATACTCACTGCTTTCAAATAATATTGAAGCCTGATACTCCAGATGAGTTCATCTTTTGGCTTGTAGAGCTCCTGGCAGCAGATTCAATTTCTTACAGTACCCGAAGCCACCGCACCTTCACTCTCCCTGCAGCCTTACTGGCTCAGCTGAATCCTGCTCTTGTTGCTCAGCACTTATGCCCTTACTCCACTTTTACTCATTACATCAAGTGCAGCCGGTGCATCATCCTCCTTGCAATCAGCCTCATGCTAGCTCTAGCTCTACAGCCCTACGAAACTGTTATTATATTATGTGCCAGCGCTCCAGCAAATTCGTTAAGCGCGGCATCCGGCGTTTCTGGGAAGCAGTAGGGCTTGCCACGCCACGCTGCAGACCAGCCCCTGCTCGGACGGTGGCACAGGTTTACAACACAACCCTCCGGCAAGAGAAGGCTCTCCCAGAGCAATCCAGAAAATACCAATATCTTGGGGGGAAAAAAAAAAAATTAAATGCACTAATATGAATAGTTCAGACATGTTTTAAGCTTAACACAGACAGTACGTTCTGTGCACAAACCACATATATAGACACTTGGTAATGAGTTTATCATCAGGAAAAGTTTAAAGCCACATGTTTGGTCTTACAGACTTTCATTTGATTGACTGTATTTATGTTTGTTCTACACATTCAGGTCGATTCCAGATTCTTCAAAGAAGGTTTGAAAGGCAGAAATATAATAGTCCTTAAAACTTCCAAGATGTCTTTACAAAGATTACTTGTTTTAGTGAACATTTTTCCATTGAATACCTCCAAAATAAAAACTTAAATGATAAAAATAACCTTCTGTAAATGTACTTAAATATATATAATTTAAACTCTATCTGAAAAAGAAACTTTTTACTGAAATGTTAAGTATCAGTAAAATAATCTCAGGCACATAGTTAAGCTTTTAGAGGAGGCTAACAGGAATGTGTGTCACCATAATACCAAATCTTCAGTTAAAATTCAGCCACCTTTCAATTGCTACTGCTCTGAAGACAAGAGCATAGGAATTCGGGAAAGCACTTCCTTTATTCATTATTTAAGCCTAAACAGAATGGCTTTAAAAGAATTAATTAAAAACAGAAAATACAACCAGATTGAGCTCCGGTACTGTTTAAAAAAGAAATTATCCCCCATAAAGAAAAATTAAATACCTGCTTCTGCCGAGTGGCACATGATAAAGTTTGTTTTATATTTAAGAAGATGCCAGTTGTCTTCTAACACCCCTTCTCCATGTGCCTGATGCTGGCACAGCAATTAGCAGCAATCCCAATTCAAAATGAGATCATATACTCTATCTAATGAAATTACTTGTTGAAAATAAGAAAAACATCTCTATCAATAAGTATTGTTTCCGTGCTTTCTGAAAGCAATTTCAGTTAGTGACTTCTATTCTTGGAAGCACCCGGACTGATCAGACAGTAGAAAAATATGTTAGGGCAACTTTCATCATTATTGTAAGTACTGAATGCAACATCGTCACCATTAAAAAGCTAAAATAGCTTATTTTTTCCTCCTCACGCTTTCTCTTTTTATACCTCCTGGAGTCTCCCACTAAGCTCTGCGTCTCCACACAAGTAGTTGGTGCGTTAATTTATAGAAATCTCAAACCAGATAAAATCATGGGTTTGAAGACAAAATTTCTTTTGCAAGCGCGTAATTCTTGGATGTCTCATCAAGTCATAATTTATAGCCAGTTAATTTTCTAAGGCTTGCTTCTTCCCACCTGGACAAGGTCCTCTACAGCCTACTGTAGGTGACCCTGCTTCGGCAGGAGGGTTGGACTAGATGACCCACAGAGGTCCCTTCCAACCCCTACCATTCTGTGATTCTTTAGCCATCACCCCAGTCCAGACCCATACGACTAAGACCAGACCTTGCAGCCACAGTTTCAGAGACTGTGCTGCGCAGCTCACATGGCAAGTTGCTTCTTAAGAGTACTGTAGAAACAATCCTCCTGTAAGGCCACATTTTGTTCCTTTAGGTGAGCATCACTGAGTCCTGCAAGACTTTTTTTTTTAACAATTTCTGTGCGCTCTCGCCTGTCGCCTCTGGAACCACTTCATCTTGATCACTTGAAATGACCGGATTTGGTGGAAGCCGTTCTAACAAAGACCGTTATAAATGAACAATAGTACGATAAGGAGTTACAGTACTACTGATGTCCATTTGAATTCTTGGGATTTCACCTTTGTAGCTGTGAAGATTGCCTTCTCACGGAGCTATTGCTTAATTGTAGCGTATAAAAGAGACGCTGTCACTTCACATATAAAACATACAAGGTTTTACCCCATAACTCAGTTACACGTATCAATAGAGTTGGGATGGCAGACACATAAAAACCCTGAAGTTCACCAAAATCAATTCTGTAAATTGAAAGTACCTGTCGTTTTAGGAAACTGAGCAACTGCGGATGTCAGCTATCTGTCTTTATAGAAGCACCATCCTTTAAGTCTCAAAGCTAACTACACATCTGAATTCTTGCTGAATA